GTGGTGGTATTTTTATTCTACTCAACGAAATTACTTTATTCGAGTGCCAAATGTATATATACTTAGATGTCAATCAATAAAGCATTCTCCACCAATTTGGGTTTAATTATGATAGTCCATATTTCACCGTTCAACTCAATTTAAAACATAAAATCAATTAACCACATACAATAGTACCTTTCTTTTTTCAAATTTCAAGTCAATATGAATCATGTCACATTACCTTACCATTATAGAGTGTGTGTGTGTATGTATATATATATATGTATTGCTCACAAAGCACAAATTCGGAAAAGAAGTTTGATACAATGAAGGGTCACGAGTGAAAAACATTCATATAGTATACATATAGAGTGTATAACTCTTTATAAATTCTAAAAAGCTCCTAACATTCAATTTTGGAACAAATAATTATCTAAATGCTGAAAAGATTAAAGTGTCCCTGTATAATTGAATTAAAATAAAAAAAAAGTAAAAAACTAATTAAATATGAAATGACTAACTTGTCTCTCTTTTTTATATATAAAATAGGGTTGCGGGCAAAAAATACCCTTATGGTATAGAGTATATAACTCATACGTTCTGAAAGCTCATTAACATTCAATTTTGGTGCAAATAAGAATCTGAATGCTGAAAAGATTAAAGTATCCTTTTATAACTGAATAAAAAAAAAAGAAGTAAAAAACTAATTAAATGTGACAAGGGTATATATATAAGGATATTATCAAAAGATATAAGGATATTTTTGAAATTATATATATAAAACAATTACCTCAATTCCTTTTTTATCATATTTTTTCAAACTTAACGGACTTATATATTCAAAATAAATGATAGATGTGTTATTTGCACAAAATATAAATATTAGGAATGTTTTTTCTCACTTTGCCCTTATAAGGGCATTGTCAGAAGAGATAAGGGTGTTTTTGAAATTTTGTATCTTAACAGTAACTTAAAACTCTTCTTTACTTATTTTTCAAATTTAATGGACTTATATATACAACATAAATCCTTCTTTGCTCATTTTTTCAAACTTAATGACCTTATATACACAAATATAAAGAATATATGTTTTATTTGTCAAAATTGGAAACATCAATGGTGATTTCTCTCACTATACCCTATAATGAATCATAATTACATTACTCATCGAGGAGAGGCGCGTGCTTCAAACTCCATAGTGAGCATTTGTGATTGTTTGTGTTGCAATATTAAATAGTAACTTAATAAAGAAAAAAACAAAAAACAAAAACAGTAAATATCCTCGCATTAAGATAATATAGTAAGTACAAAAACTATCAAGATAAAAAATTCGAGTCAAGCCAAATAATCAAACACTCACATTTGGGGTGGGGTTGTATTTGGGGTAGGAGACAACCCCACCAACTTAACGCCAAATCGAATCTGCAAAATTGAACCCTGGTGTATAATATTTATCAAACTGTACACTACCCATCAATAGGAAAACTGACACTCGAATAAGGATAAATTTGTAAGTAGAACTGGACGTTGTATCCCATTAGGCTGGTTCCGGTCCAGTGCAAAAGCAAGCTAATAAAATCTTAATTATTAATGCCGTCTAAACGGTGCCCTAGATGTCCCATCTGAGTCAATTTCATGGGGGCCTTTTGGTGTAAATAATTATTACTTGCACAATGTTGAGCAAGAGGAACATCACTGCCACTAGGGTTCACTATTATTATTCCAATCGAATTGATTGATGTATTCATGGGACTGTTGACTCATCTTGCTTTGTTTGGTTGCGTGCACATTTTAAACCTATCCAGATTCCCAGACCTAATTCTCATGTTTTTTTCCATGTGAACACAGTAGCTTCATTTGAATTATTATTATATTCCCCTTTTAAAAATTAAAAAGAATGGGGTCATTTTTTTGGGGGAGAAAATAAATGTTTTTGACAGTTACAATTTGTCTATTTAATTTCTTCCATTCAATTTGAAATGTTTTAGATATGCTTTAAAAGTGTTATTTTATGTATTTATTTTTGTTTCACACAATTATTTATTTTGGGTGGCGGCAAATAAATAATGTGAAACGTTACGTTGAAAACCTACGCCTTTGTAGCAAGTGATTGGATCAGCGTCAATGCAACTTCATTATCCAGTATGCTATTAAAAAAAGTCGTGTAGGTCCCACACCCACCCACTAACTGGAAAACGATCGCTAACCCTCCCTCCGTCAAATTGTGGGGTCACTCGTACTTCCTTAGTCTTTTTCTAGTCAATGTGGCCCGTTGACTTTAAAAGAGTGGTCCGATGCCTTTTTCTTTCTTTCTTTTGAACAGAAAAAAATTGATACTTACATCTGTGGAAAAAAAGAAGAAAAAAAAAAAACACAACCTTTTGGTGGTGTTTATGTAACTCTTTCGTTCTACTTATATATTATTTAATGGATGAAAATTTTAAAAATTATGATCTTTATCCCTGCAATAATATATTTTTCAAAAGGCAATCACTTAAATATATATATTTTATGTGTTAATTTTTTTTTAAAACACTTGTATCGACCCCACAACAAACGCACTGTTTAAGTTATGAGTGCAGTTTAAAAACGAAACTTCAAGATTTACCTTTCAACGGCAAGATACCCCGAGACTTATGCAGACACCCACTCTATCTTAGTAAATGTTTAAATCTTTTAATGATTGAAGAAATACCAACAAATCATAATTTATTTCTAAAGCATCCATTAGACCATAGCGCATCTGTGAATAAATATTATTTTTTCATTTAGAGAGCTAGATTGGTTGGTTAAGCATCTTTACAGAGTCAGGCCAAGGGTCCAAACAAAACACTTGGTTGTTATTTAAAAATAATAATAGAGCCAATAGTGTTTATATAGATATATATATATATTTATGTATTTGTTGATCAAATTAAAGATTAAAATAGTCATTTTCTTGAATAGGGAGGTGTGTATGAAAACTTCTGAAATATTTCAAGAAATATCAATATAAATTAGTGTATTGACAGTTCGTTTAGTTTAGTGATGTTGATCCAAATTTCAAAAAAACTTGTGAGTACAAATTATCCTAAAATAATAAAGTAAATAGTGAACCGTACACTAAAAGACATGATTATCAATATAAAATGGATTCATGTTGGCTCTCCACTTTTTAAAAAGTAAAAAGTTAATTTGGGGACTCTTTCTACTAATGCTCTTCCTGACTGGTAATTTTATCTTTTGAGCATAAGACAATGAACACATTGTTTTTTTTTTTTTTTTTTTTGGTTAAAAGGTAACACATTGTTGTTTTCATTTTCTCCTATTTTTTTTTTTTTTCTTTTTTGGCAAGTATTGAGAAATTCTTTTGGAAATACTGAATTGACGATTTAAATTTAAAATTAAAATTCTAAATTAAAAATTTTCAATTCTAAAATTAAAACACTAATTTGATACTCTCAAATACAACATTAATTTCATCTTTTTAAAATATTAGGCAACCTCACTAGTCACGGAAGTGCCCAAATGAACCATACAGTCACGACTTACGTCATCCATATTATTGAAAGAAATTTTATCTCGGAAATATTAGGCTTTTACCCTTTTAGCCTCTTGGATCCCACTTCCATATATATTGTCGCTGTGGAAAAGAACACAAGCAGTTCACCTGTTCGTCCTACGTAGTTGGCACAAACGTTTGTTATTCCTATTGTTAATACCATGCAAGTGTGTTGGAATTTGTCTGTGTCTGAGTTTACGACTGGTCCATCGTGCAATTTTTCTCTCTTTTGTAATTTTTAAGAAATTAGCTCATTCTGACTTTCCAGAAATTATGGGTCTCATTGAGAGAATCACAGGTAATGCTACTCTGACTTTCCAAAAATTATTATAGAATCTTAGGATTATTGATCTTAATCAATCACATATTGACACATTAATAAAAATAAAATAAAATTACCGTATTTATTTATATAACAATAAATAATTGATCGAGATCATATAATAATTTCGTCACACTTTTTCACACTTACAGTGAGGTAGAAGTGAGCCAAACACACACTTCCATGTCCAAACCACTGATATTCACGTGCTGGGAATATATGAGGCAATTCCAGCCACCCACCGACCCCACCTTCCACGATTTAGATTAAATAAATTCTATATTTGTCTTGAATGCACATATTATCTTAAATTTTTTAAATTAAATTGGGCGAAATTACATTAAACCCCTTTGATTTGTAGTATTCTGTATCAAGTTCTCTTTTAATCAAATGAGTTATTTTTACTAAAATACCCCTAGCAAGTCCAAGTAGAGAAAATTTTTTGCAACACGCCCAATTATGGCATTTTAGTGGCAAAAAAATTGAAATGAAAAGTTTATTGCAAAACACTATAAGTTAAGAAGGTTTTGTGCAATTTACCCAATTTAATTTATAGAATACATATATCAAAGTCAAATCCCTCTCTCCCGCGTGCATGAAAAAGAACCTAAAGCGCAATTTATGTTCTAATTTAGTTGAACTGATTAGCATCAATTTTTTCAAGAGAAATGATAGTTATTGCTACACCCACAGAGGTTTTAAAATTTTTCAATGTAAAGAAAAACTTTATGATTGGAATCAAGATTTTGTGGAATTAATTAACTAAGGAATGTGATTCTAGAGGTATAAAATATGACTTTGGCGCTTTATTTCTTAGATTTAAATATCAAATGAAGTGGGGTACTCGAAAATTTTAATGAATAATATAAGATAGATAACATCAAAAATTCTTGTTATCTTGATATTTTCTATGGGGGTTGTCATCTTGTACTATTTATATATATATAGACAACAAGTCTGCGATGTAATTTATGCCCCTGCCAAAGTAACCCGACACACACTCGTGACAGAATAAATAAAAAAAACACACTCACACTGTCACACACACTACTCAAAAACACATCAAAACAGGGGTGTTATTGTAAAATCACAATCCCTCCCTCTCTTATATAACCCACCTGTTTGATATCAACACAGTATCTCCTCCAAGTACAAATTTTCTTGCACAAAAACACTAAAATGGCATCGAAGGAAGAGACTTCCACCACCCAACTCTTTGATGACGGCGCCGAGAAGGAGTCGCCACCGGAGGAGGACAGGTGTACGGTGGAAGAGGTGGCGCTGGTGGTGCCGGAAACTGACGACACATCACTCCCGGTGCTGACATTCCGGGCTTGGTTCCTCGGCTTGAGCTCGTGCATGATCCTCATTTTCCTCAACACCTTCTTCATCTACCGGACGCAGCCTCTGACAATCTCGGCCATTCTGATGCAAATCGCCGTCTTACCCATTGGAAAATTCATGGCGGCTACGCTTCCGACGAGGAAGTTCCAGGTGTGGGGCCAGAGCTTCAGCTTGAATCCTGGGCCGTTCAATATGAAGGAGCATGTGATCATCACGGTGTTCGCTAACTGTGGGGTCTCTTTTGGTGGGGGTGATGCGTACTCGATTGGTGCCATTACTGTCATGAAGGCTTACTATAAGCAGAGCTTGAATTTCTTGTGTGCACTTATCATTGTCCTGACATCTCAGGTACTTATTTCACCAAAAATATCTTCTTTGATAACATTTTTATTTTTTTTTTTAACTTAAACCAATGAAATAATTAGTTGAATGGTGAAAAAAATGTGAGATTTCCTTTCCATTTTTAGTTGATGGTTTATATTTCTGAGTCTCAAAATACATTGATGTTAGCATGAAATCGGTGTATTAGATTTGGAATGGAAAAGAATTTAATTTAAGGCTCCGTAGGTTTCTGGTATTTGGTGGTATTTGGTTGTCGTTAAAATATTTACGAACAAAAAATATATATATTAAAATTTAATAAAAATAATTTTTTCATTAATTTCCAGCAAGTCATTTTATATACTCATGAACTTGACTTCAATTTTGATGTAGACTTTGCTAAACAAGTAAAAATAAAAAGATATTTTAAGTAAAAAATTAGAATATTTTGGGTCGAAACAAATTTGAATTAAATTTCTTCCAATTCTAAATCTAAGGAGCTGATTTGGTGCTCCCAATCATAGCATGACCCTCTCTAATCTCTGCTCTAACCTTTAGTTCTGTAGATTATGGCTTAGAAACTACATATTATATGGACTTTGTAGGTATAGTGATTTATTATGCATTGTATTTCAACTGCAAATAGTTTAATTTGTGAATAAATAACATACATAAGAGTTCAAATTAGTTTTTAAATTTTTTTATTAAAAAAAAAATGGGCCTTTTTTTTTGTTCCATAGTGGAGACTGTAAAGAAAAAATTGTTTGAAGAAGTGGGGTTGATTTAACAAATTTGCAATTGTTGATATATATGCAGATATTGGGGTATGGATGGGCTGGGATGTTGAGGAGGTACCTAGTCGATCCTGTTGAAATGTGGTGGCCTTCAAATGTTGCTCAGGTTTCTCTATTTAGGTCTGTCTTTTCACTTTTGACTTTCTCACTTTTCAGACATATAATTTTAGGACTTTTTGTCGTTAGCCTTTTGTTTCGTTTTGTTTCGTTTCGTTTCATTAGCTGAATTTCAATCATGAGATGTTTTTTTTGTTGTTACAGAGCACTCCATGAAAAGGAATCGAAAACAAAAGGCATGACTCGGATGCAATTTTTCCTTGTTTTCCTGGCTGGAAGCTTTGTGTATTATGCGTTTCCGGGCTATCTGTTCCAAGTTTTAACATTCTTTTCATGGGTGTGTTGGGTGTGGCCTCGCAGTATCACTGCTCAACAAATTGGTTCCGGTAGATATGGACTTGGGGTGGGTGCCTTCACTCTCGATTGGGCTGGGATTTCAGCTTATCACGGCAGCCCCTTGGTGACACCTTGGTTTTCCATTGTCAATGTTGGCATTGGCTTTATCATGTTTATATACATAATTATCCCTCTGTGTTACTGGAAGTTCGACACTTTTGATTCCAGAAAATTTCCCATATTTTCTAACCAGCTCTTTACTACTACTGGAAATAAGTATGATACCACCAAGATTTTGACTCCAAATTATGATCTTAACATCGCTGCTTATGATAGCTATGGGAAGCTCTATCTTAGCCCACTGTTTGCTCTCTCTATCGGATCAGGGTTCGCGAGATTTACAGCAACACTCACTCATGTGGCATTGTTTCATGGCGGGTAGGTTGCTTACAAATTTTGCTAATTACCTTCTTGCTCGGTCTATATTTCTTAGTAACTTGTGTATCGGATTATATTATCAGAGATTCCAAAAGCAACGTTTGCTCTATTCCTGTATTTGATCAATTTGTAATTGGTTTTGATTTTGTAGTGATATTTGGAAGCAGAGCAAGTCTGCAATGACGAACGCCAAATTAGACGTCCACGCAAGACTGATGAAAAGTTACAAAGATGTGCCTCAATGGTGGTTCCTCATCTTATTATTAGGGAGCATGGCCCTGTCCCTTCTGACGTCTTTTGTGTGGAAAAAAGATGTGCAGCTACCATGGTGGGGGATGTTGTTCGCCTTTGCCTTGGCCTGGGTTGTTACTCTTCCTATTGGAGTCATTCAAGCAACAACCAACCAGGTAAGAAGCCCTACTCTTCCTATCTTCTTTACGATTCGTTGATGTAAAGGAAATGACATAAATTAGAGAAAAATAGTAGATTGTGACCGATCCTTGCAAGCCTGTTCGGGTTTGGAGTCTATTTGTATTTCGACCCTTTGGACAGGGTTCGAGGTCTGGTAGAGTACTTGTCGAAGAAAATAGTAGACTGTGTTCTAACATCTTGATGTTCTTGTGACTACTTTGCAGCAACCTGGATATGACATAATTGCGCAGTTCATATTTGGTTATGTCCTTCCAGGGAAACCCATTGCAAACTTGATTTTCAAGATTTACGGCCGAATCAGCACCATTCATGCTCTCTCTTTCTTATCAGATCTTAAACTTGGGCAGTACATGAAAATCCCACCGCGGTGCATGTACACAGCTCAGGTATATATATCTACTTCTAAGAAAACTTCTTCATTACCTAGTGAATGTCCTGCTTAATTATACCCTTTAATGACATTTCAATCTAAACTCCCATCTGTTTTTCCGTTTTCGTTTTATCTGGTTTTTTTTTCTGCAGCTAGTTGGGACACTAGTTGCTGGCACAGGCAACCTTGCAGTGGCATGGTGGATGTTGGGGAGCATTGAGAACATCTGTGACGAAGCAGCACTCCCTCCTGGTAGCCCATGGACATGTCCTAAATTCCGAGTGACTTTTGATTCTTCCGTTATCTGGGGCCTAATTGGACCAGAACGGCTGTTTGGACCCGGGGGGTTGTACAGGAACTTGGTATGGCTATTCCTTATTGGAGCTTTCTTGCCAGTACCTGTTTGGATACTCAGCAAAGTTTTCCCGGAAAAGAAATGGATTCCCTTGATCAACATACCAGTTATATCCTATGGTTTCGCGGGGTTGCCACCTGCAACTCCCACCAATATTGCGAGCTGGCTTATCACTGGGACCATCTTCAACTACTTTGTGTTCAAATACAGGAAAGGATGGTGGCAGAAATATAACTACGTTCTGTCTGCTGCATTGGATGCCGGGACAGCTTTCATGGCTGTTCTACTCTTCTTTGCTCTGCAGAACGAGGGACATAATTTGAAGTGGTGGGGATCGGTGGCTGATCACTGTCCTTTGGCTCAATGCCCAACAGCACCAGGTATCATGGTTAAAGGATGCCCGGTTTTCAAGTAGCCTCCTACCCATTTGGTCCATTGATGGGTCTTCAATGATTGGAAAAACAAAGTTGGAAATGGTCAAGAAGATAACGCAAATTGGTATTACAACTGGTCATTGGAAAATTTGCTACAAAATTGAATCCACAATTGCTTTGCGTTACTGTAAATGATTATTTTTTTCTTGTTGCGAGTGTTGAAGAGAGCCTTTTATTTAGGTCTGATAGTAGATTTTTTTATGTTGTGGAATGATTGTCAATGATTTCTGCCTTCAGTTGTTCTCTTTCAAGATGTATACATTTGTATTGAATAAGAAGCTATTAAGAGAAGAGAGATCAACAATAAGGCTTTTTAAAATGATGTTTGCAAAAGCTAAAACTAATCCAAGTGATTAAGTGGTAGAGTCGGAAAGGATGAGTAACCTTTTTTTCCCAGAAAGCAGATGCCTACTTTTGCAGTAATCAGTCATATGACTATACAAATTGTAACATAATGACTAAAAATTTGATGTTTATCTATATTAGATAGAAGTGGGCCAAACACACACTTCTGTGTTTGAACCACTGATATTCACGTGCTTGGATTATATGAGGCAATTCCAGCCACCCCCGACCCCACCTTGCACGACTAAGAGTAAGTTGATTGAATAAATTCTCTATTTGTCTTGAATGCACATGTTATGTTAAATTTTTAAAATTAAATTGGGCAAAATTGCATTCAACCCCGTTGACTAGTAGAATTTTATAGGAAGTTTCCTTTTAATCAAATGAGTTACTTTTACTAAATATCCCTATCAAGTCCAAGCCAGAGAGAATTTTTTACAATTCGCCCAATTATGGCAGTTCGGTGGCCAAAAAAATTGAAATGAAAAGTTTACTGCAAAGGTTCTGTGCAATTTACCCAATTAAATTTATAGATTACATATATCTAAAGTCGAATCCCTCTCTCCCATGTGCATGAGAAAGAACACTTATAGTGCAATTTATGTTGTGATTTAGTTGAACGAATTAACATCAAATTTTTCAAAGGAAGTGATACTAATTGTGACACCGACAAAGTTTTGAAATTTTTTAAAGTTTTTTAATGAAGTTGGGTACTCGAAAATTAATTAATTAGTTAGTTAAGGAATGTGAGATTCTAGAGGTATAAAATATGACATTGGCGCTTTATTTCTTAGATTTAAATATTAAATGAAGTGGGGTACTAGAAAATTTTCATGAATAATATAAGATGCGTAACATCAAAATTTCTGGTTAACTTGATATTTTCTATGGGGGTTTGTCATCTTGTATTATTCATATGGTCAAGTCTGCGATGTAATTTATGCCCCTGCCAAAGTAACCCGACACACACTCGTGCCAGAATCATGCAAAACACACACACTGTCACACACACTCACACTATTCAAAAGCACATCAAAATAGGGGTATTATTGTAAAATCATAATCCCTCCCTCTCCTATATAAACCACCTGTTTGTTATCGACACAGTATCTCCTCCAAGTACAAACTTTCTTGCATAAAACGCTGAAATGGCATCTAAGGAAGAGACTTCCACCGCCCAACTCTTTGATGACGGCGCCGAGAAGGAGTCGCCACCGGAGGAGGACAGGTGTACGGTGGAAGAGGTGGCGCTGGTGGTGCCGGAAACTGACGACCCATCACTCCCGGTGCTGACATTCCGGGCTTGGTTCCTCGGCTTGAGCTCGTGCATGATCCTCATTTTCCTCAACACCTTCTTCATCTACCGGACGCAGCCTCTGACAATCTCGGCCATTCTGATGCAAATCGCCGTCTTACCCATCGGAAAATTCATGGCGGCTACGCTTCCGACGAGGAAGTTCCAGATGTTGGGCCAGAGCTTCAGCCTGAATCCTGGTCCGTTCAATATGAAGGAGCATGTGATCATCACGGTGTTCGCCAACTGTGGGGTCTCTTTCGGTGGGGGTGATGCGTACTCGATTGGTGCCATTACTGTCATGAAGGCTTACTATAAGCAGAGCTTGAATTTCTTGTGTGCACTCATCATTGTCTTGACTACTCAGGTACTTATTTCACCAAAATTATCTTCTTTGAAAACATTTTTATTTATTTTTAAAATTTATTTTTAACTTAAACCAAGGAAAGAATTAGTTGAATGGTGAAAAAAGGTGAGATTTCCTTTCTAATTTTATCTATGTAATTTTTTTTTTTAGTTTATTGTTTATGTTTCTGAGTCTCAAAATAAATTGATGTTGCAGTTGGAAGCACTTGGAATTGGATAATAACATACATAAGAGTTAAAATTAGCTTTTAAAATTTTTTATAAAAAAAAAATGGACCTTTGTTTTTTGGTCCATTGACTGTAAACAAAAAATTGTTTGAAGAAGTGGGGTTGATTTAACAAATTTGCAATTGTTGATATATATGCAGGTCTTGGGGTATGGATGGGCTGGGATGTTGAGGAGGTACCTAGTTGATCCTGTTGAGATGTGGTGGCCTTCAAATGTTGCTCAGGTTTCTCTATTTAGGTCTGTCTTTTCTCTTTTCACTTTCTCAATTTTATACTAGAAGAGCAAGGCTATCAACAGAGCCCTCTCATGGAGCTCACCATGTTAACTATTGGATTGAGAGATTTAAAAATATATATATTCCATTTGAGTTTTCACAACTTGCAAAAATTGTTTTAATTAGGTGGTATTAATAAGAAGAATCAAGGGTTCCTGTTCTAATATATGGTTTCTTTTTGTTCTTTAATGTAAATTGTCCCATCTTTCAAGTAGTTTTTTCAAAAACTCACAAATATTCTCCACTCTCCAATCTTTTTTACAAGAAATAAAAGTTTTTTTTATTTATTTATTAGTTTGTTGACTAAGTTCTTTTATGGTGGAAGCGGATGAATCACCTGAAACTATTTCAAACATAATTTCAATGGATGAGAATTTATTTCATGAGCTGCTTTGCTTAGTAATGCAATATTCTGTTTCAACATAAAAAGCATGACAAGGTTATAAATGGGAAGAAGGTAAAAGAGAATTTGCATAGCACAACTAAAGCGAAAGTAACCTATTCTACTAGTCTATTCCATTCACTAACACACAACAAAATTCATGTATAAGCAGACATAGTTTTAGGACTTTGTTTTGTTTCATTTCATTAGCTGGATTTCAATCATGTCATTTTCTTTATTGTTACAGAGCACTCCATGAAAAGGAACAGAAAACAAAAGGCATGACTCGGATGCAATTTTTCCTTGTTTTCCTGGCTGGAAGCTTCGTGTATTATGCGTTTCCGGGCTATCTGTTCCAAGTTTTGACATTCTTTTCATGGGTGTGTTGGGTGTGGCCTCGCAGTATCACGGCTCAACAAATTGGTTCCGGTAGATATGGACTCGGGGTGGGTGCCTTCACTCTCGATTGGGCTGGGATTACAGCTTATCACGGCAGCCCCTTGGTGACACCTTGGTCTTCCATTGTCAATGTTGGCATTGGCTTTATCATGTTTATATACATAATTATCCCTCTGTGTTACTGGAAGTTCGACACTTTTGATTCCAGAAAATTTCCCATATTTTCTAACCAGCTCTTTACTACTACTGGAAATAAGTATGATACCACCAAGATTTTGACTCCAAATTATGATCTTAACATCGCTGCTTATGATAGCTATGGGAAGCTCTATCTTAGCCCACTGTTTGCTCTCTCTATCGGATCAGGGTTCGCGAGATTTACAGCAACCCTCACTCATGTGGCATTGTTTCATGGCGGGTAGGTTGCTTACAAATTTTGCTAAATACCTTCTTGCTTGGTCCATATTTCTTAGTAACTTGTGTATCGGATTATATTATCAGAGATTCCAAAAGCAACGTTTGCTCTATTCCTGTATTTGATCAATTTGTAATTGGTTTTGATTTTGTAGTGATATTTGGAAGCAGAGCAAGTCTGCAATGACGAACGCCAAATTAGACGTCCACGCAAGACTGATGAAAAGTTACAAAGATGTGCCTCAATGGTGGTTCCTCATCTTATTATTAGGGAGCATGGCCCTATCCCTTCTGACGTCTTTTGTGTGGAAAAAAGATGTGCAGCTACCATGGTGGGGGATGTTGTTCGCCTTTGCCTTGGCCTGGGTTGTTACTCTTCCTATTGGAGTCATTCAAGCAACAACCAACCAGGTAAGAAGCCCTACTTTTGTTTTCTAGAGCCCCTTAAATCTTCTTTATGCTTAGTTGATGTAAAGGAAATGACATAAATAAGAGAAAAAAAAAAAGTAGATTGTGACCAATCCTTGCAAACCTGTTCGGGTTTGGGTTTGGAGTCTATTTGTATTTCAACCCTTTGGACAGGGTAGAGTACTTGTCGAAGAAAATAGTAGGTTGTGTTCTAACATCTTGATGTTCTTGTGACTACTATGCAGCAACCTGGATATGACATAATTGCACAGTTCATATTTGGTTATGTCCTTCCAGGGAAACCCATTGCAAGTTTGATTTTCAAGATGTACGGCCGAATCAGCACCATTCATGCTCTCTCTTTCTTATCAGATCTTAAACTTGGGCAGTACATGAAAATCCCGCCGCGGTGCATGTACACAGCTCAGGTATATATATCTACTTCTAAGAAAACTTCTTCATTACCTAGTGAATGTCCTGCTTAATTATACCCTTTAATGACATTTCAATCTAAACTCCCATCTGTTTTTCCGTTTTCGTTTTATCTGGTTTTTTTTCTGCAGCTAGTTGGGACACTAGCTGCTGGCACAGGCAACCTTGCAGTGGCATGGTGGATGTTGGGGAGCATTGAGAACATCTGTGACGAAGAAGCACTCCCCTCTGGTAGCCCATGGACATGTCCTAAATTCCGAGTGACCTTTGATTCTTCCATTATCTGGGGCCTAATTGGACCAAAACGGCTGTTTGGACCCGGGGGGTTGTACAGGAATTTGGTATGGCTATTCCTCGTCGGAGCTTTCTTGCCAGTACCTATTTGGATACTCAGCAAAGTTTTCCCGGAAAAGAAATGGATTCCTTTGATCAACATACCAGTTATATCCTATGGTTTCGCAGGGTTGCCACCTGCAACTCCCACCAATATTGCGAGCTGGCTTATCACTGGGACTATCTTCAACTACTTTGTGTTCAAATACAGGAAAGGATGGTGGCAGAAATATAACTACGTTCTCTCTGCAGCATTGGATGCCGGGACAGCTTTCATGGGTGTTCTACTCTTCTTCGCTCTGCAGAACGAGGGACATAATTTGAAGTGGTGGGGATCGGAGGCTGACCACTGTCCTTTGGCTCAATGCCCAACAGCACCAGGTATCATGGTTAAAGGATGCCCGGTTTTCAAGTAGCCTCCTACCCATTTAGTCCAATGATGGGTCTTCAATGATTGGAAAAACAAAGATGGAAATGGTCAAGAAGATAACGCAAATTGGTATTACAACTGGTCATTGGAAAATTTGCTACAAAATTGAATCCACAATTGCTTTGCGTTACTGTAAATGATTATTTTTACTTGTTGCGAGTGTTGAACAGAGCCTTTTATTTAGGTCTGATGGTAGATGTTTTATGTTGTGGGACGATTGTCAATGATTTATGCGTTCAGTTGTTCTCTTTCAAGATGTATGCATTTGTATTGAATAAGAAGCTATTAACAGAAGAGAGATCAACAATAAGGCTTCTTATATGATGTTTGCGCTTGGAGAAGTCAAAGGACACATTTATCTTGCCAAAGCTAAAACTAATCCAAGTGTTTTAAGTGGTAGAGTCGGAAAAGATGAGTAACTTTTTTTTCCCATAAAGCAGGTGCCTACTTTTCCAGTAATCAGTCAGATGACTAAACAAATTGTAACAGATTAACTGTCGTTCTTGTCCCACATCAGATACAACTTAAGCTTTTGGTGCAAGCACCAATCCCATTGTTGTTGATATCATAACTAAACATAGAACTCGGTCCATTGGTGGCCTTCGAGGCCAAATCTTCAACATTATTTACACAACCACAAAACGGCTACCTTCAAGTACAAATCCACATTTTACTTTTGGTAAATTGAACATTTGTCAATGGCGGAACGAGACATAGCAACTGCAAATCAACGGCTAGAATAACCTTTCCTAGTTCCCAAAAAATCTGATCATGTCCATCACTTAACCTTTGAACATATTATAAGCAGAGAGGTTCTCTAGCAAGCCAGATTAACATTCGAAATATTCCGTGTAGTTGATGATAGATGGGAGAAAAAGTGCTTAAATAGATGCCGAAACAATTTCAAACCAAAAAAAAAAAACACTTTAGTTTTTCCTCCACATTCCCTGTTCAAATTGCAAGAGCTTTAAACCAAGAAATATCCAGAACAAGAGCAACCCTAACCCTCTGCTAGCATTAGAGTGGCTAGACAGTACAGAAAAAAAAAAAAAAAAAAAAAATCATTTAAAACAGTGAGGGGTAGGTAGGGACATCCAAATAACTTTTCGATCAACTGTATATTAGTATTATGCATTAGGAGGCATAAAATTCTCAAGTTTACTATAATGGCTCTTTGTGGAGTTCGCTCAAGCCATCAGCTTAAAATTTAACTCTTAATAATTATAACAATTACATAAAGGGACTACAGACTAACATCCTGAGAGATGATGTGCATTTTACCTCTGCAAGGACTTGTAGAGTACCACTGTCACATACTTGGACAGGAACCGATGGGTTGACCCAAGAGCCACCACAGATGGGCCACCCCTCCCTTTCTGCATGTAAAGATGGTTAAGCACCACATGCTGAGGTCTTGAAAAAGGAGCTGGAATCTCCATGTAGGTCGAAGGAACATTGAGCAAAGTCATTTGCAGATGTGGGGGAACCAATGGCGGTTCCTTTGCATAATCCTCGGGACCAAGTTGCAAGTTGCTGTAGCTCGCCTCTGGGGACTGAGGAGGTTCGAATCCGGAAATGCTTTCAATCTCTTCTGGAACATAGTCCTGCATAATACATCAATAAATACAATGGGTTTCAACCAGAGATCCCAGCCCACAAGTAGCCAATTACTGTGTTTCTAAAAGATTCAAACGTGACACTACACACACACAGACGGACACAGAGAGCACATTTGTAATATGCTACAAGAAGTTCAGTATTTCCATATGAGACCTAAACCAACAAAAAAGAATTATCTAACCACAAATAATTAGATGTCAATTTTTGCTTAAAGTAGAGAAGCAAGATCCCTAATCTTGGCAATGCCTTCTGCACACAGAAGGTCACACCTGCATGGCTATTTTCTTTGTATAGCAAGCAAATTCAGCCTTTGAGTTGGCTTGGCAGAAGCAGATACACCATCTTAGCAGGATAGACGATAGTCGTGGTATTATGTCAAATATTATGGTTAGCTCTACAATGGCTTGAGTCAAACACTACAGCCTTAGGTTTGTATTCATCCTGATTTTCAAGCAGAGGCATTGCAAGCAACAAATTATGACCACTACCAAGAGGTCCAAGACTTTTGTTAGTAATTGGGTGTCTCAGTCCACCATTCATGAGCTTCAAAAGGCTACTCAGTAGTCAGTACTCTGTCTCATGCTTATCAAAAAGAGAATAGAAGGCTACTGAAGCTCCCATGTTTCTGAAGTTGCAACAAAAAATCCCTCGGGGTCATATGATGGATAATCTGATTTGGTTGAATTTGGGACCCACTTAAATCCGCTACTTGTACTATAAAATCATCCTTTAATTCTTTAATCATTTTTTGAAAAATTAAAAACAGCCTTTAATTTCCTTACTTCAGTCCAGACTGCCTGATCTGCAATGTGAAATCAGCATATACTACTTTCTTGCTTCAGAGAGTTCTAAGAAACTCAATTGACACTTGACAGTTTAACATGTATTTGGCATAATAGTATCTACCTCAAGGCAGACTAGTTATTCCCTCCGAAACAATTTCTTCCCTTTTTTTTTTTAACATAGCAGGATCAATATTCAAATAACAGTACAATGCAGACCTGGAAATCAAAAACCACCTCATGTTTCTTTCAATTACAACAGAAAGCTGAGTATTAATGCGAAAGGCGGTGTTTTGCCTAAGAAGCACGGACACTTCAATGAAGGTGCCATGTCCGTGTCGGACACCGACACTTCATGGACACTCCTAGTCCTCCATAATTTAAAAATAAATTTTATTATTTCGGACACTTGGCTGACAAATCTCAGACACTAGGGTTATGTTTGGTACAATGGAAATGAAAAAAAAGGATATCATTAGTTAGGAAAGAACGGAAGAGAAAGGAAAAGCTGGTATTAACCACTTATCATGCTTGGATGATTAATGAAGGAAAAGGAAGATGATAGTAATCGTTTTGGGGAAAGAAACGAAAGGAAACTATTTTAATGAATTTACTCCCATACCTTTTACATTTAAACGACAAATTTAAGAAGACCTGACGCATATAAATCATAGAAATGACATAAAACCATTTTTTTCTAAATAAAAGATGGGAAAAACAAATTGGATTTTAGTGTACTTTGCACATGTTCACACTTAATATTACACAGAAAATCAAGAAATTATGGTGAAGCATCTCATAGCATAGACCAAACTGTTAGGCTGTGTTAGAGATAGAATATTATACAATACTGCGACTATTATAATAATAGACTAACAGAGTAAAGAGAAGGAAAGGAAAGGTCGGAATTTTTTTTTTTAAATAATTATTTTTAGATATGAACATATGTATTGAACGCCTTCAGGTATATGCATGTTTCACTTTCTAGGTAGGATGGCCATATCTGAATTGACTGTTGCTGATTAAAGATTCAATATGAAATGCAGTTACAATTTTGTTCTTTAATCCTCTGGATGGGTAGATGGGTTAAATAGAAGAAAACATGTCCTAGAACTCATGTAATTTTTATTTTGTCTTTTATAAAAATAAGGGCAAATTTGGTATTTATAAAATGCTAGCATTTCCTTCCATTTCCTCCCAATTTTGGAAGGATAACAAAACCAACTCATCAAGCGTCAATGTATCCCTCTTCCATTCCCTTTCTTTTCCTTCGAAAATTTTATACCAAACATAAAAAAACCATATCCCTCCATTTCCTTTCTTTTCTTTTCCTTCCAACAAAACTGGGCCTTCCATTTTCTGGACACTCAACCAACACATCCCACACTTTTCGTCTTATATAAAACAAACAAGATAGTCCGAAAAGCAACATTAAGCACATACATCAAAGTGTCCAACCTCCCTTTCTTTAAAAAATTGACATTAAACACATGTCAAACTATGAAAAAAAAAAAAAAAAAAAAAAAAAAAAACATAATTACAATGACAAGATAAATAGTGACATTGTATATAATATATTCTTTTTGATATTCAAATAGCTTCAACTTTTACTTATGTAACTTCAGTATAGAAATTATAAATTAATTAAAATTCTATACCTGTCTTACTTAATATAGATATATAAATAAAAATATATTTATATTAGCCGTGTCCAGACAGTGTCCGTGTCCTCATCCTACTTTTCTAGAATTTTATGTGTCGCATCTGTGCTACTTCTTAGATGGAAGTGTTCCTAAGTCAATAACAAAGCTGCATGCAGGTACGCTGTATAAATTCTTACAAATATATACAATTACTACAGGCAAATTAACAGAAGAAAGATGCATCTGAACATGTGAGACCTGAAGATTCCAGTATCTCACCCAGAAATACTCGGCAGTACATAGCTTTCATCTTTTAAGAAATAAATAGGTTGAGAAATTTTGGAGTTCAACAGGAGTTTAGTATGTTAAGATATTTAAGCATATCACTCCTTTATATATCATTAATCATTATACAAAAACTCAAGAGAGATTAGTTGAAAAAAGAACCTTAAAGCACCGGTAGCATAACAAGTGTGGGGTTTAAAATTTTCTATTACAAACTTAGAAGCCATCAAACATATCAGGGGGAAAAAAATGACAAGCTTTTGACAATAAATACTTGTCACTTCAGGTAGACAAGGGAAAAAGGCCCGGGCCATTAGGAGTTATTAGAAGCAAACAAACATATTTAAAAACAGGGTAAGGATAATAATTGATAAAAATTTAAAAGTTGTGACTGCTTAGCAAAGGAAATTGGATGACATTGGCTAAAACTTGAATTGGAAGAAAATGTAGTTAATATAATAGCACTTATGCTCCCAAAGTAGGACTAGAGGAACACATTAAAGACAATGTTAGAAACTTATTGATAAATTAACTCAAGAATTGAAGTAATTAATAAGAAGAGATTTTTAATGGACATGTGGAAAAAAACCATGGAGAATATAAGATGGTGCATGATGGACACAGATTTGGAGATATGTGAATGACCCTAGAGAAGCTATCCTAGACTTTGCATTCCCATATGACCTTATAATAGAGAATACCTATTTTAAAAAGAGAGATGGACATTGAATAACCTTTAAAATGATACTAAACAGGAGTTAGTTTGACCTTTTTTCCTAACCAGAAGTGTCTAACATGCAAAAACTGTAAGATTATTTTAATAAAAAGCTTACGTCACAACATAGATTGAGAGTTATGTCTCCGCTCGTGCGTGTGTGTGTTTGTATGTATCAAAAGACAATCAAGAAGAAGAAATATATTACAAATCCACAAAACAAAAGGTACAAATCAGAAGGGGAAAAAGAATCATTTAAGAACTATTGCTAACAAGACAACACAAATTTTATAAGATGAAATTAATGAGATGTGGAATAGGATGGCTTCTTGCAATAAAAGAATATCAAAAGATATCATTGTATAATTAACAAGAAAATGGTATTACTTAAAGAGACATAGTAGAGCAATGAAGATGTCCAAAACATAGTAAAAACAAGAAAGAATGTCATAAAATCTGACAAAAAAATCTGAAATGACAGTTTAATAATTTCAGATGTGCAATGAAGGAAATTATATAAGTAATAAAAGATGCTAAGTATAGAAAATACAATAATCTTTATTTTAATTAGGTCAAAAGAATGGGAAGAGCAATATATACATAAATACAAACTTACTAAGTCATTGAATAAATTTACAAGGAAGCTTAGGCTTATAAGACCATTCTAACCTTGGTTCGATTAGACAAATATATCTTTATGAAAGATCGAGCATGAAAGGTCAATGAAAATAGGAAGGACTTTAGGATATCTTGGTTAAAATAAATAAATAAAAAATTTGTTCAAGAAGACTACAATAACTAAAAAGGCCTGAAAAGTGGCAAAAAAAATTAATTGAATTATATATATAGAAATAAGGGGAATATCCAAATTTGTACATATTATCACAAGAATACATTCATGACCATCTACAAAAATTAAATATCCACCAACGGGCCAGTGGCCTAGCAGTATCAGGCCCTTACTTCTCAAAGAGAGGTCAAGAGTTCAAGTCTCAGAAGAGGCATGTGTGTGTGGGTACCAACTAGGAAAAAAAAATTAAATATTTAAATTTGTACATATTACCACAAGATTATAGTAATGACCATCTAAGAAAATTCGAGAGAATGATTGTACAATGGTTAGGACTTGAAACAATATCATTAGAAAATTAATTTGGATTTTGCGAGGGAGGTCAACAAGAAGTTGTTAACTCACTGAGTATATAATATAAAGAGAATAAAAAAGATCTTCATATGGTTTCTAGGAATTTAAAGAAAGCATGTAATGAATTCCCCAAAGACAATGGGCCTATTTGGCTGGGCTTTCTGTAGCCTCGAAACGGGCTTCTAAGTGCAAAAAGTCCTTTGCCAATAATAAAGAGCGTTTGGTAAAATTTCTGAAATGGACTTTTAAAAAGTCTCAGTGGTTTATAAGCCCGATTGACCAAAGCCAATAAAACATGCTTCCTAATCGACTTCCCACAAACTACACACTGTTTTAAGTAATAAATATAACATTCCAATATTTTCCATTATTTAACCTATTTCTATTTCTAAATTTCATTGCAAACTTTTATCTT